CATCTGACAAAGGGCTAATATCACGAATCTACAAAGAACTTAAACAAATTTACAAGAAAAAAAACAACGCCATCAAAAATTGGGCAAAGTATAAATACAGACACTTCTCAGAAGAAGATACTCATGCAGTCAATAGACACATGAAAAAATGCTCATCATCACTGGTCGTTAGATAAATGAAAATCAAAACCACAATGAGATACCATCTACCAACAGCAGTTAGAATGGCAATCATCAAAAAGTCAGGAAACAACAGGTGCTGGAGAGGATGTGGAGAAATAGGAACACTTTTACACTGTTGGTGGGACTGTAAACTAGTTCAACCATTGTGGAAGACAGTGTGGCGATTCTTCAGGGATCTAGAACTAGAAATACCATTTGACCCAGCCATTCCATTTCTGGGTATATACCCAAAGGATTATAAATCATGCTACTATAAAGACACATGCACACATGTTTATCCCGACACTAATCACAATAGCAAAGACTTGGAACCAACCCAAATGTCCATCAATGATAGACTGGATTAAGAAAATGTGGCACATATACACCATGGAATACTATGCAGCCATAAAAAAGGATGAGTTCGTGTCCTTTGCAGGGACATGGATGAAGCTGGAAACCATCACTCTGAGCAAACTATCGCAAGGACAGAAAACCAAACACCGCATGTTCTCACTCATAGGTGGGAATTGAACAATGAGAACACTTGGACACAGGGTGGGGAACATCACACACCAGGGCCTGTCGTGGGGTGGTAGTAGGACGGACGGATAGCATTAGGATATATACCTAACGTAAATGACTAGTTAATGGGTGCAGCACACAAACATGGCACATATATACATACATATGTAATAAAACTGCATGTTGTGCACATGTACCCTAGAACTTAAAGTATAATAATAATAAAAAAAATTGCTTGCTAAATTTCAGTACTGCCAGTAGTGGCAGCAAACCATCCCAATCCTGTTCCTGAAAGCTGAATTTAGCCCTTGGCTTTACCTAAGAATTGCCACTGACGCTGCAGCCAAAGTATACAGTTTCCCCAGAAGGACTGTCAGAAGTCCAAGTACTAGAGACAACAAGCAGAGTGATCAAGCCTTGAAATCAGAACTCCAGGCTTCAATGCTGAATCTTGTGTTCCTCTTTAAAGAAAACTGTGTTTACCCACTAACCTTACCTAGTAGTAACTGACTCTGCTTTTTTTCTTCTAAAAATCCAGCTTCTTCAGGAGTAACTATCTCATTAACAAGAGCTCACAGTTAGGTAGTTAATTTTCTAAGTCACTTACCCCCAAAGAATTTGCTTCAATAGCAGTCTGAACCCCTGTACATCCATAAGCCACTTCTTCACTTATTAAACAAGCATCAAAAGTTCCAAGTCCAAGACCTCCTACAGTATCAAAATGTTTTAACACATTATAATATGTAGTACATCACAACAGAAATAAAGGTAAACTATTTTAATTGCTTTCAGTATGACCAAAATTTGTTTTAAAAGAAAATCTGCAATATAATATCTACATGTGTTCTGGCTGGCACAAGAAGAAATTATACTTTTCTAAAGTAAGTTCTAAAATTTTCAAAAAATTATTTTACTATTTGTAATTTGAACCTATATTCCTGTTCTAACTTGATTGTGTTAAAACTCAATTCAACTCAAACTGGGTCTGAGGAAAAGAATGATAGTTCACAAAAAAAGACTCAATAAAATGTAATATAGAAGATAGGAATAAAATGCAACAAATTGACCAACTCTAGAAACAGAAGTTACTGAGGTTTAGGTGCAAATTAAGGTTGGAACCATTTAGAAGAAGGAAAAATGCATCTAAGTATAGAGTACAAGCTTCCAAAAGTGGGCAAACACTGTAGTCTGAGCAGGATGACAAAGCTAGAAAGTCATTTAATGGCAAGAAATATTTGAAAACAATGACTGAGTAGAGTTCCACAATTTTTCTTACTCATATGCATTCTAGTATTAAAAATATAAAAAAGCTCACCACAATTCTCTGGAATGTGCGGATTCATTAAACCAAGTTCCCAGGCTCTTCTAATTAGGGGGACCGGATACTAGAAGAAAAAGAAAAGAACTGAATTAAAATATATTTTGATATCCAAACAGTTTGATTACATAATCTTGTAAAAAATGTAAAAGATTTTTCCCTCTTTAAAATGTATACACCTACTTCACCAGTTTTATCATATTCTGCAGCCACTGGGATGATTTCCTCTCTGGCAAATTTACGAGCAGTAGCTTGAAATTCTTTTTGCTGTTCAGTGAACTCTAAGGGAAAGTTATTTAGAAAAGGTTAAAACTGGATAACAAGTTAAGGAAAAATGTCCCATGAAGTCAGTATGTAGAAATGTGTATTTACTGTGGGGACTTAAATCCTTGATTAATCAGAAAAGTCAGACTACAGTGCATTTTCTGACTAATCAAGAGTTCACTACACAATGTAAATAAACCTATGTCAACACAAATGCTAAAGGAAATAGGTGAGATTTCTAACTTTTACAAATGAGTAACAGATATTAACCTGTAGAGCTCAAGTGAGTTTTTCTTTTCCAATTGGTGATATAAAAAATGTTTAACTTATTATTAGTTCCTAAGCCAATTTATCAAATGTTTACTGACACTGAAGGGAAACTAATATGCAAGACATCTCCCTGATGACAAGAATCAATCTAACGAAATAAATGAAACACATTCAGTGACATAAAGCAATACAACTTATTTCAAAGTGTCATATAAGAATATCATCGTCGTGATTTTAATTTTACCTTTTTTTTTTTTCTTTTTCAGACAGTCTCATTTTGTCACTCAGGCTGGAGTGCAGTGGTACAATTATGACTCACTGTAGCCTCGACCTCCTGGCCTCAAATGATCTTCCCAGCACAGCTTCTCAACTAGCTGGGACCACAGGCACATGCCACCATATCTGGCTAATTTTTGTAATTTTTATAGAGACAGGGTTTTGCCATGTTGTCCAAGCTGGTCTGGAACTCCTAGGCTCAAGTGATTCTCCCATCTCGGCCTCCCAAAGTGCTGGGAGCCACCTCACCCTATTTCATTTTTTCTTTTTATTTTTTTTTTCATAGAGACGGGGTCTCACTATGATGCCAGGCTGGTCTTGAACTCCTGGCCTCAAGCAATCCTCCTGCCTTGGTCTCCTAAAGTGCTGGGATTACAAGCATGAGACACCAAGCCTAGGCTTACTGCTCCTTACAACTCAAAGTTTATAAATTAGCACAAAGCAACTGGTAAAAGTGGTAGAAAGGTTTTTCAAAAGATAATAACAAAATCCTGCTGCAATGCTAATAAATGGTGTCCAACAATTTGTTTACATAAAATAAGGGATTATTGTTTTAAAATTAATGAAATTAGTATGATGGCTTGATTGAGGAGAGTAGCCAATTGCTAACTGCATCTTTTCAAATCCATGGTATCCTTGTGTTTTAATGTGGTTGCATCTAACGTCAAAGATTAGGTAAAATTTAAAAGAGATAACAGGGTATTTCAAGCAAGAAAAATGAGAGCAAATGCAGAAAAGAATGTTTAAGACTATAGTAATCATTGCATGGGGAGTGAGAAATAATACATAAAAATAGAATTTTGGTGCTGAATTGAAGAGCATAAGATCAAATCCTTTTATAGATAAACTAATGCAGAGTAAGGAAATTCTAATATCAGTCTTACAATGAATTAG